AAACAAGTTGCATCAGTTGTATTGAAACTCATCTGGCTGGAAACTGTACTTTTATTCCCAAAGGCAAATTGCACAGGAGGGAGGGCCATCTCCCTGCAAACAAGCTTGGACCTGCAGCCCTGTGGGAGCCTGGTATGAGCCTGCAGAGACTGACAGGGGACAGGCCCAAACCCCCAGCCCCGAGACTGACAGGGGACAGAGATCACAGGTCTCCCATAAAACACCTCTGAACATAACTGGCGGTCACAGGTCACGCCAACAAAAACAGAAAGAACCAGGAACCAGGTGAAGATCCACTAACACACAGCACAGCTTCACTAAAAGAGTTTTAATTAAAAAACAAACGAATAGAGACTTTTTAAGAACAGAATTAAAACAGAGGCTCTTCTTCCAGAGGCCCCAGTGGATTCTGGGTACTCCCGCCATGTGCCCGTCTTGCCAACTCCTTCCTTCGCGACCCAGATCGAGTCCACTCAGGCCTGCTGGGTACCGCGGCTGCCGTCACAGTCCGGGCATGACATAGGCGATGTTGTCCAGAGTGTTGGACTGAGAGAGACAGAGAGAGTGAAAACACTGTCCGACACAGAGAGCAACACCCCAGCAGAGCAAGATGGACAGAGAGAGAGCCTGAGGAACAGTGAGCCTGTCTCCCAATCATGCCCCATCTGTCTACAGTAGATGTCAATATTTTATGATATGTCTTTGTTGTAAATGTCTGTAATATTTCTGTAGATTTTATTTTTCTTTCATTTTTTGTTTTGATTCATGTTAATTTTATTATTTTTATTTGCTTTGGCAACACTGATTGTACCCATCGGTCATGCTAATAAAGCACCTTGCAATGAATTGAATTGAGAGAGCTCAGAGCTCAGAGAGACAGAGACACAAGAGATCAGAGCTCAGAGAGACAGAGACACAGAGAGATCAGAGCTCAGAGAGATCAGAGCTCAGTGAGATCAGAGCTCAGAGAGATCAGAGCTCAGAGAGACAGAGACAGCTCTCAGATAGAGACAATCAGACAGCTCAGAGCTCAGAGAGACGGAGAGACAGCCGTCAGGCAGAGCGCAGCCCGAGGAGAGGAAGAAGGACAGACAGCTGGGTTAGGGAACTCACCAGGACGTGTCGAGGGCAGGAGTTGAGCTCCGGGACCTGGGCAGTGAGACAGGTGAGCGGCCCCAGAGCACAGAGGATAGAGTCCAGGAGGACAGACAGGCTGCCGGACACAGCCACCATGCCCTGGAAACATAAAAATATAATATTACCTCACTTAGCACCACTCACAGCTATAGAGACACACAGACACTGAACATACAGCTGTGGACAGTGTTGAGGACAGTGCTGTGGACAGAGATGTTTGCAGTGCTGTGGATACAGTTGAGGACAGTGCAGTGGACAGAGCTGAGGACAGTG